AACGATTGATCAATTGGTTACATAGTTATAGCCGATTCAATTTCGAGCAGGCCGAAGAGGCCGCACTGTCTGCTTCCCCCACCACCACCGCCGCCCGTACGATTTTATTGCATTTCTCGCTTGCATAAAAAACTTTAAACACGTTTTAAAGTAGGTTGGCAATGAAGAAAAGTATTGTAATCTTAGACCTGGTAAGTACTCGGAATACCAAAGGTATTTTTCGAAAAATTAGCCCGGATGTCCCAGTATATTTACAATTAGTGTAAATGACGGCTATAACTATGTAACTAATTGATCAATAGATCTTTTTTTTTTAAAGGAGCGTCTTTCCAAGAACTTTTAAAACCTGCTTTAAAAAATTTGATTTGATTGAATATTCACAAAGTTCTAATTGTTTATAAGTATAATAATTCGACCAATGTTTAAACAAGCGCCAGAGCTCTCCTAATTGACGGATTCGGATTTTTCAAAAAAAGTTTGAAAGCTTGTGAGCCCTTCTATATGTGATTAAATTTTCAAGTATCTAAGGGCCTTGGTTTTTGCTGTGCAAAATTTTGAAAATTTGCATTTTTTTTTCAAAATCTGGATTACAAAATTATTATGCAAAATCTATCGAACCGATTTTTTATGAAATTTGGTGTGATAATTCTACGTAACATGAAGTTTTTCTGAGCCAAGTATAAAGGTCCTATACCCAATTTAAATACCCCAAAAAAATCCCTAAAAAATATTGTTTTTTAACCGCATTTTTGCGATTTTTTCGATTTTTACCATAATAATCATGAATCATTCGATTTGTAACTAGACATGTTTTGTAAAAAATTTAATTGCAAACATTTTATTCCTCTTCGATTTTCGCCTAAAATCAACTCTTGAAAAGATACATAATTAAATAGGAAGAAAAATATGACATTTTTCGAATTTTTTTAACATATTGTGCCGCCAATAGTTAAGCCCACGTTTTTTTTATGCGCATAGAAAAATTTTCATTTCTAGTGATATTTGAAAGCCAAAAAGCCAAAAATCTCCGTGGATATACGATTCACTCAAACCAAAACAGATATGGCCTGGTCTACTAACTAAAATAAACATATTTTAAAAATACTAAAATTACACAGCGCCGCAAAAAAAATGAGCAGACCGTGTATTCTTTAGTGTTTTTACTTGATGAATTCAAATTTAACAATGAGGTTAAAATTCGTCTTTTGTTGTAGTTCGTAACCTATTTGTCCAAATGAGATAATTCGCATTTATTTCATACTTTTCACGGTTTACTTGATAAAAGTTGCGAAAGGTAAAAAGTAATTTGTTTAATGAATTTTTTAAAACTCAAATATCCCGAAAACTTAAATGTACGGAATTACACAAAGTTTGACGGTTTCCAGTGAATAAGTTCAGTTCACTATCTTTTTCAAGAATGTTTATCCTTGTGTTAAGTAAAAAATAGTTATCACAGTTTGTTTACAGCAAATATGATATGTGTGTAATAAAATAAGTAAGGCTATAATATTTTAATGTCTGAAATCCACTCTTGATCTGTAATCCATTACTCATGAAATACCCTGTATATGGTGACGAAACTTATTATTATTTTAATTTGAAACGGTAAAAACCTAACATCAGGAAACCCCCTATAATTTCCTAACCCAATAACCCTGACCATAAGGATACTATTATGTTTTTTCCTATGTAGAGAAAAATCCTCGGGTCTACAGAAGCATGGACACCCGGTTTAAGGTATTTCAGAGTTACAAAAGAACTTATAGACTCCTAAGAGTCTCGTGATTATACATTTTCGCATATCCCGAGTTATGGCGTTACATGTTTATGGGGTTATGTTATGAGTGTCTCTTGATGTTAGTATCAAAAACACGAACTAAATCTCTCTTTAAAATTCCTTGACATTAATATTTGCAACTGTATTTTAAGATTTGTAATTACAAGCTTTTATTATCTTACATATTATTTTCAGCATGTTATTTACTAAATAAAAAAAAAATATAATTGTGTGTCCACATTTTTTACAAACTAAATGCAATAGAATAATCTCTATAATTTCAAGATGAACTTTCTTGTGCAGAAAATTAGTTGGACATTTTCCTTGTCAAAACTGTTACGCAATGTATTATCTGAATATATTATAAATACGAGTAAAAAACCGATACGGAAGCATATATTTTGTCATCAAGATACAGATTTAGGCCTAGATGTTTGTCTAGATAAATTTGATTAAAAGTAACGAACATACGAGTACATACATCAAAGAATGATTGTAAGAAAGTAAAATAAAGTTTAACGATTTACATAACGAACATAGGTATATCTGTAATTGTAATAGTTGATTTTTCTTTGCAAAAATATGTTAGCCTCTAAAATATACAATAACGTCAAACATCTTGCAAAATATAATGAAATTATGATTGCAGAAAAGTGAGAATATACTAATTTTAAGATTATAAAGACTATATTATTAAACTCCATTTTGTTTCTACCGGAATACACCGATGTATTTCAGTATTTCAGAATAATATTTTCACACACCATTCATATTACTCTATTCAGAATAAATATTTTAAAAATGCCTAGCTTTTGGAAGTTACAGGATAAAATTTTATTAATAGGCTATTGATTATAGGATTTTAAAAGGAACTATGATGTTCAAGATATTTTATTACATGAATCGTTCAAAGGGTCATTTTAGATGAGGTTTTTTAGAGTGGAAATTGGAGATAGGAGTGAAAATGCACCCCTTTCAGTTTTTTAATTGTAGCTCGAAAACGAAGCAAAATTTCGCTACAGTTCATAGGAAAAGTTATTTAGAGAATTGAATTTCCTATCGAAATGGCTTATTTAAAATATTTAAAAGGAAAATTTTATGTAAAAATCGTTAATAAACAATAATTTGAAAAAAAGCAAAAAATTCGATTTTTTAATTATTTTCACTTTTTTGCCTCTAGATTTTTTTTTGAGTTAAGATAGGTATAGGCACTGCTTCATAAAAAAAGTAGATAAAATTTCCTTCAGAATAAGAGGTTGTAAAGTATTTTTGGATGAAAATTGACTGATATATGTCCGTTCAAACTAACAATTAGCCAATTTTTCGATTTTCGTCGCGTTTAGCCTTATATCTACGTTTTAATTCTCATTTTTTTTTGCAAAAAAGAAGGAAATAAGACGTTCAAGGATTTTTATCACATGATTTGTTCGAAGGGTCATTAAAAATGAAAAAACCGTGGGGTGCTATTAAATTAGAGGGTTGAAATTGAAGATACGGTTAAAATGCACTTTTGCAAGTTTTTAAATATAGCACAAAAATAAGGAAAAGTTTCGGTATAGTTCATAGGAAAAATTCTGCAGAGAATTCGTTTTTTTTTAAATCTACTTTTTTATGAAGCAATGCCTATACCTATCTTTACTCAAATAAAACTAGAGAAAAAAAAGTGAAAAAAATAAAAAAAAAACAATTTTTTTGCTTCGTTTCGAGCTACAATTAAAAAACTGAAAGGGGTGCATTTTCACTCCTAATTTAATAGCACCCCGCGGTTTTTTCATCTAAAATTACCCTTTGAACGATTCATGCAATGAAATTGCTTGAAAGTCATAGTTCCCTTTTAACCCTATTTTTTTATATAATCAATAGCCTATAAGTTCTGACTGAAATTTCATTTATCAATACAAAATTTCATAATGGCATAGTCACGATTACTTATGTAAAGCAGTTTTTAAATCTTGGAATGTAAGATATAATTAACATTGAATTATAAAAATTTCTAGTTAAGACCAAATAACTCTATTGCCTGTGTAGCCGTCAACAGAAAAAATTAAGTACATTTTAAAAGGTTTCGACATCTATACATTTTGCTCGATTCATTTATTAGATTGTTGTTATTTATGTGGAACAACTAAAGCATATAGTTATACATCAGAAAACGAATAAACGAAATAGTTGTAAAATTAATTATGACAAATTCCCAAGTAAAGGTAAAGATCATACTTGGAAAGACGTAGTGTTTCGACGATATAAAAAGACACAATCATATAATAATTAAATATGACAGGCGATAAGTGAGAACGGAAATATTTTTTAAATTAATTAAAAATACCAGAGCTAATCAAAATATATACGAGGTCTTATCAGGAACTAACAGAACTTTATTTTTTAAACTTTATTATTAATTTTATACATTATTGGTCCTTGTTTCCTTCAAAATACTCCCTTCCCCTTTTCTCAGCTTTCAGTACGTACTGATTTTAATTTCGAAAATAAAAAAAAATCGAAAGGAGCCAGGTCTGGCGAGTAAGGAGGTTGAGGAAAGACAGTAATCTAATTTTTCAGTCAAAATTTCATGGCATGACCCATTTGAGATGCTAACCTCTTCTGCAAGTTCTCTGACAGTCAATCGGTGACTTGAATACACCAGGTCTTCGACTTTCTGAACGTGGTAGTCATCAGTTGAAGTCGAAAACCTTCCTGATCGAGGATCATCTTCAATTGACTGAGACCATTTTTAAATGGTGAAAACTATTCATTGCATACAATCCAGAGTATCATCTCCGTAAGTTTGTTTCAAAAGTTGAAACGTTTTCCCCAGTTTCACACATCGTTGCACTCAAATAATAATATCACGAAAATGAGAGATCAACAGTCCATGAGAGGGGGATACAGAGGAGGTCGCAATGCGATGCTGCTAACCGCATATCAGTAAATATCTCCATTAGCGCGTATGTAATTCAAAAAGTTCGGTCATTTTCTAAACAGATCTCGCATTTTCGAAAACAAATTTAGTAAAGAGTAAATATTATTGTGGTAAAAAACAATTGGCATTAATCTATTCAAATTGTCGGCACGTTTCACTTCATCGCTTGAATATTTCATTTTTTTTAAATGTTTTGTATTTTTCATACAATTTCGTTCCATTGATATTTATTAATCCCATTTATAAGGAGGCTATTTGAATGATCACAATTATATCAAAGCAGAGAATTTTTGTGTCAAATACCTGCTTTATGCCAGCTCCAGTTTGGATAAGGTACTAGTGGAGGTGACCGCTCCTTTGGTATTCTTGGTAGCACTGCTAATGTTGCTGGTACACCAGGCTTCCATTTTGGCATAGTCACAAACATCCGATCTTTATACACTTCAAGACCTAAAAAGGAAGACATGCGATAAAACGCCTTAAAAAATCATCTCAATCTAAAGTAGTTATCAAACATCAGATAATATTAATCATATTGTAAGAAAGCGGAACCAAATACATCCCAATAAACGGGCTCATATTTTGAAAATCTGCTTACAATATACGTCGAGAAAAAGTATTGCATATTTTGAATTTGCTGAACAACTACTGTACGGGTTATGTGCCCTGACTAACATGATATTGCTAGTGTAATTCAACGCAATACAGGTCGCTTTCTGTCATTTTTAACCGGTTAGGGTGTCTCAGGCATTTAGTAGAAGGTGATTCACAATACAAAGGACATAGAACAGGTGCACCAAAACAAGTTGATTTTTTATATGAAATTTTTTCTCATACCTACGGTTGCAGAGATATTGGCCTGAGAGAATGTCTTTAAGAAGTCGAAAAAACTCGGTCGAAAAAAAGTCGAAAAAAACTTGTTATTGAAAAAATAAAACTTGTTTATTTGGTATGGCTGGATTCGGTTTTCTGTAAGCTTTTCAACGAGCCCCCTAATGCCTTATGTTTCCATTTGTAAAAAAAAAGTAGGGGAAGCTGGGGGTTAGGGTGTTGAAGAAAAATTAATTATTATATAACCGAAAGATGGGAAAAAATCAAAATCAGTTAACGTGTTTCGGCGTTTTAAAAAAAATTAACTCATTCAAAAGATATGAATTTTATTCCGTACTTCTGGCCATCCCTGTATAGAGAACCCTACTTATGTGGTAGTTGCAGCAGATGCCGCGTACATTTCGTTCGTGTGTCATTCGTACGCCTTTAACAAATATTTGGCATGTAACAACATGCTTTCGAATGCATTGATATGCAGCAGCCTCACGATACGGCATTTGTTTACATTGACAAATATTTGACCTTGCCATCTAGAACGGGCTTAACATTAGCTATAGGGAACACACATGCATCGCATTTAGCCGTTACAAAAAACTATTTTTGTTATTCTTTAACTTATACTAATTCCTATATTTCTCTCTTGCATTATTACAGTAAGTATTATGTTACGATTTCATCTTCATTTTTTTTAAATGAACTGTAAGTGAAAATATAATGATGTTTACTAATAAGGGTCGTCTATAATTTCCTACTATGATACCAGGAACATCACTTCGCTGGGCTCGTGGAGATGATTTTGATTATGTTGAAGATTGTTTGTAAATTTTCAAATTGGTATTTTTTTTTTATTTGAAATCACAGAGATTTATAAGTTACATGTAGTTATATTTGGATTTAGTTTTCATACGAAATTTATTGTTCGCTGCTTAAGAATAATATTAAAAAGAACGGCTTAAAATATTAGTAAAATATTTCCAGTCTTTTTCAACGATTTTGTCACCATTAAAAAGAAAATTAATACTAAAAGACACATTACACAGATATGCCTGACTGGTCCATGTAAGCACCTATTTTTAAATAAACAAAATCTTTTTGTCTTTAGATATTTATAATTCCGACGGGGAAAAGTGCGATAGTTTTTTGATATGTTATATAAGATGAAATATGCACCGCACACCTACAAAGTAAATAGATATGGTTATATACAAAAACTTTTAAGGACAATTTTCCACTCTATTTATCATAAATTATAATTATGTGAAATTTGCACAATTGTCATATTTCTTAGGAATGTTTCTTTCATGTTTCCTTTAGTGTAGTTTTATTTATCATTACCTAATATCGTTTCAGAATAGTTTTGCAATAACTCTATGAAAAAAAAAATATCTTTCAACATCCAGAACGCAGTATGTCAAATCCAGTCGCATATTGCTGGTAATTTTTTTAGTTTTCTCTTGCTTAGACAGAGAATTCGGTGAAGATATATACAATGTGGTACATTAAAAAACCCTATAAATTTTTTTGTGATGCACTATTTGTTTAATATATCTTCTAGATGTACCATTCATGTACGATCCTATTCATAGTATACAGGGTGTACAACATTAGCATCTCTTGAACTAAGAAATTTCTAGGATTGGTTCAATTACAAGAAAGTTGCATACTTTTTATGTCAATTTGGTTTATGAAAAGGAATTGCTGCAAAAAAACTTCCACATCTTTTTTATTATTGAAAGGTATGTATACTTAAGGCGACATGCTCTATCTGTTAGAAAGCTTCAGGAAGGAAACAGTACCGAATACTTTGGATGTTGTGCCCTTCTTTTCTTAACTGCTAACATCTATTTTGGTAATCCAGTTTTCTAAATAAATACATTAAATAGTTTTATGGTAACCGAAATTGTTATAATATTTATTGAAATACTGAAGAATCTGAAAAAAATCTAAAGAAAAAGGGTATCGCAGCGTTAGTTGAAAAGTTCATTAAGGAAACTTTTAAGAAATACTATACAAACCTGACTTTTTACTAAATTTAACTATCTCACACACTGTAAATTGATGAAAAGAGATGAGTGCACCCAAAATTCAAATGTTTAAATTTAAGATGAATATGAGGTTATAGTTCCCAATGCTTTGTTTATGTTTGTGAACTTGGAATTTCTTAAATCAATGCCGTAAAGGTAATTTTAAATGTCTATTATTGTTCAATCGGTAAAAAACGATGTTATTATTCGCATTAACAATTGGCAACTTAATCCGAAAAGTGACAGATGCTTACTAGGTTGGCACGTTCTATTTTATGGGTCACTGGGTATTTATATCTAAGTTAAACATTTCAAGACAAGTTCTAAAGAATGAAACGCGACCGATATCGCATGATTGATCTCTCAATGACGTTTCCGTATTAAGGATTCTTACTAAATGTAATACTTCCCCATTCTGACGTGTAGTAGTATAAAGTAATTATTACAGAAATATTCAAATGTTGTGTGCGTTGGATAAGGGAAAGTTACACATGCAGATAATAAATGGCAGTAGCAGTTTTACATTTAATACATTTTAATTCAATAAATCATTGCAAAAAAATAGATTGACCAATTTATTCGGCAAATTTATGACCATCTTTTTTTCCGAATACAATTCCATTGTGATAACAAATAATAAAATATACTTTTAAAAAGTTGTATTATATGCCAGACTAATGCAATTGCTACAACAATCATCTACATTTTAAATATTTAGAATAAAAATAAGTTTCAGCATTGTACGGTACAATGTAACTAACATTGGTACAGCTGAATTAGATTAGATATTAGAAATTAGAAGCGAAGTTGAAAGTTTCTAAAAATCCTAGAATTGGATTGTTGTTTTCAATATCTTAACCAGTTTATTGTTACCTTTGATGTCTGATATACAAATAAAAGTTCTTATAACTACCGGATAATATATTTTATTTTTTGAATAAAGGATAAGAGAATCAAAATATTGTTTTTGTTTTGGGCCACTGGCTCGTGCTTATACAGATTGTGGCGTGTATAATCTATGAAAATTAAACTACAGCTTCCTAACGATATTTGTAATAGAAAAGTTTTATACGAAAAAGTTCTATTTTTGCGGTTTTTTTTCGTAAATTAATGTTCAATTATGGATCAAAATATAGAAGGATACTTATCAAGTTTTGGGGAATTTTTCTAAACTAAGAAAATAGATATTTAAAAAAAACTGATATTTTTTTATTATAATATTTTTTTATTATAATAATTAATAGTAATTACTATCTTAAATGAATTGTTGTTACTGCAAGAGTGAGCAAACAAAATCACATCCGTAAGCATCTGTAATTGCCAACTACGTGCACTAAACAAATATTAAAATATGGATCAAAATGAAATAAAACTTACCATTTCTAGAGAAAATGTTGAAATTGATCCCCATTAGCGCGGATACAGGCATGGCACCGACGCACCCAATTTTAGCGAATATTTTCCCAAATTCCAGGTATTCCTCTAATTCTGTCAGCAGCTTCAAGTATACGGTTTCGCAATTCTTCCACCGTAGCAATTGGAGTATTGTAAACCAGTGACTTCAAGTGACTCCAAAGATAAAAGTCTATTGGAGTTAGATCGGGTGACCGAGATGGTCACGTCACAGGACCAAAACGTCCAATCCATCGCTGAGAAACATTTCATTCAAAGTGTCGTTACTTTTCGAGTACTGTGTGGAGGAGCTCCATCTTGAAGATGAAACATGTGTGCCCGAACTTGTAATGCCACATCGTCCAATAATTCAGGCAACTGGTTCTCCAAAGAGTTAGCATATGTTGGTTCATTTAGTCGTCCTTCAAAGAAATAGGGAGCCACAAATACATCGCCTATTACGCCAGCTCAAACATTTACCGAGAACAGATGTTGAAAATGAGTTTCCCTAATCGCTTGAGGATTTTCATCGGACCATATGTGCATATTATAGAAATTCACTTCATCACGGATAAATGTCGCCTCATCTGTTACACAAACATAAGCAGGAAAGTCTACTTGATTGGCACATTGTCGTAAAAATCATCTGCAAAAACGCATTAGTCATTGATCACAATCCGGGGGTAAAATCTGTTGAACTGGTTGCAGATGATAGGGGTGCAACAGCTGGCGCCAAGATGCGATGTATGGTACGAGATGAGGTTCCCAATTGTGGGGGTCTTCGTCAAGATTTTCCAACACCGCATCTTCAACATTAAGGTTCACTTGCTGACCAGGTCCTTCTCCTTGAGGAATAACACTTCCCGTATCTCACAGCCGCTGAACGCACTGTAGGATTTATTTGCACATGGGGGGGTGTCGTTGTGGCCATCGTTCCCGGTACAACCTAGTCGCCGCGAGCGCATTTTCTCCGTCTGCACCATACACTAACACCATATCGATACGTTCGAAAATAGTAAATGCATTGTTTTCTGGGTTCATTGTAAAACTAGTTTGTGCACACACTAAAAAATTAAGCAAAGTAAGAAATGAGAATCTCATATTTAATGTAATCGGCACGCTATTCCTATTTTTTAATTCTTTATAAAATTACACCGTCACTATCGTGGAATTACAAAATAAAAACTTTTGTCTTGAATCTTT